CCTTCCTCGACATCCAACACCGGCAAACACAGATATATAACAGCAACATTGTCGTAATAAAACAAATGTAACAAGTAATATAACATGGTCGTTGCATGTAACATCCATGTTAGTTGTAATTTCTTACTTATCGTATATTGCAGTTATATAATATAAATATAACATGTAAGTAGAATGTAATATAATTGTTATATAGTTACAGAAATGTTATATGAAAGTTATAATGTCATTACCAGCTAATAACAAGCAATATAATAGATATATGACATAATTATATTACATTTATAAAACAAAGTTACATAACATCGATGTTAATAGAGTATAACAGCTGTTATATTACATATATCACGCTGTTACTTCTATGTTATATAGCAGTTATATTCTGTGTATGCTGGGTACATACATGAATGAAGTTGATTTCTTCATATGCAATTATATTTCTACATATTTTAAATGTTACGTCCTGGAGACTCCACGGTCCCCTTTTTCCTGCTACGCGACGCGCCAGCGCATAGTGAACCCTTTTTTGTAAATAATAAAAAACAATAAATAACTCGAACGGGTCTCCTATTGTTTGGAAACTTAAACTCCAGACGATAGGAGAGCAAACGGAAATTATATCGGCGCCCGAAAAGATAAACCGCGTCTGGCAATAACCCGAAAATTTAGGATAACGTGCAAGAAAAATTTATTATTTAAACACTTCGAGCAGCTTTCCAAACAAACCCGGATATCTCCGGGTCATGAAAAACACCGCTTATAAAAATTAGAGCGGCCGGCGCAAATAGAAACTCCGGTGCCACGAGCATTTTTATTGTAAACAAATAGCAAGGGATCTATGTGGCGTGATCGAAAAAAACAACACTCTCCCTTTTCTCTTCTCCGAAAAATCGGACGAGCCGACCAAGACGAGAGATCGTCGCCGATTGGCGATCACACAAAGTTTACCCGACGATTAATTAACAAATAGAAACCAGCGAATCCCAACCGAGTTTTCCGATTGGAAGAAACTCAGTGAGCACTCGCTGACTCAAAAGAGTATATAAGACGGGACTCTCGGAGCTGAAGTCAGAAAAACCTGCTGATTTCGCCGGGAGTGCCGCAGCAAATTCGCGACGAGTGAGCATAAAAAGTTGCAAGTGCAAGTGCGAGTAGTGCGCCGAGTATCCGCTGAACACCGAAGCCGCACCAGGTTCCGAGCTACCTACCAAGCCGTACGGGCCGAAAAGAGAAGGAAAGTCGCAGCTAGAGATCAACTAAGTAGTAAGTCTACCCACAAATTTTAATCGGAGGTTCCATCACTTGAAAATTCAATTCGAGGTTAATACTCGGAATCTATCGGAGACGCACAATCGCCTAGAAGTATCGCGAAAGCATATTATTTTGTTTCTCCGCAACCAACTCCTTTTGACCACTCTCGACGGGAGAGCTGTTCGCGACTCCAATCGTGAATAGCGTCCGACCGAGAAACTAACTCTTGTTTGACCACCCTCGCCGGGAGAGCAGTTCGCGACTCCAATCGTGAATAGCGTCCGACCAAGAACCCAACTCCTGTTTGACCACCCTCGCCGGGAAAGCTGTTCGCGACCCCAATCGTGAATAGCGTCCAACCGAGAAGTCAACTCCTTGTTCGATCACCCTCGCCGGGAGAGCAGTTCGCGACTTCAATCGCGAATAGCATCCGGCAGAGAGAGAGAGAGAGAGAGAGAGAGAGAGAGAGAGAGTTAGCCCCCCTCCTAGATCACTCTTCTTTGATCAAGTATAATGTCGGCAGAATGAGAAATCAATTCCGAATATTAACCTCATTCTTTTGCTATAAATAATAATTTGCTAAAAGAACCTCCCGTTTAAGTGGAACCCCGCCGTTCGCATTCCAACCGCCGGCACTGGCGGCACCGATAAAACAAAAAATTACGTCAAGCGGCAGCGCTGGCGCTAAACGAAGCGGAGCCGACCAGGCCCACCACCGTCACCCCTCCTCAGACATTAGGAAACAATTGCAACAACGACAATAAAATAAGAAACCCCAGCGATACACACACAACTTCATCGCACGCGCACGCACACCCGGCGACACACTCGCACGTAGACACCTCTCACCCACAAAATAATAACAATGATTACGCACACGTAGAAACACACACAGACACACATACACACGACGATTCGTGGTATGAAGCTCCCTCCTACTCAGCGGTAACCCCCGATCCTCCCGCAGACGCTCAATCCTCCCCTGCTCCTCCCGTGAACAATCCACCGCCTTCACCTCCTCGCTCCCCCTCTCCAACGCACTCCGAACCCGTTTGTTCCGCAGAAAGTCCCGCGGATCTGCAATCCGCGCCGACTCCTCTCCACCCCCTTCTCGCTCTCCTTCCCCTCTACCTTCCACATCCGGGCAAGAACCCGCGGACGATGAATCCTCCGATTCCTCACGATCAACCACCCCACCACTCGATCCTAAATTCCAACATTTCCTCCGACTAGCCTCCACTTACCGAAAAGCCGATTCAAAAAGAATCCCCTTTGTAATTAATCCTTTCAAAATAGATCCTTCCGACCTCTTCCACTTGATATCCACTACCCCATCCAGAAAACTCCTCTCTGTCAAATTTCCTTATCTAGATGACATCCGCTTAGTCCCAGTTCATCATTTTTATTCCATATTCCCCCCTAGTTCCGCTAAAATCCGTGAGATAATAGAAATAGATCTAGAATGATTTCTATACCACAAATCGGCGCCACACACATGCACCCGACATACTTACATTTGTAGAATTCTGCCGGAGGCCCCTCACACACACTCTCGCGACACGCATACATACATATATATATTCCCCCTCTCTAGCCTCCGAGCGATGACCCTCCGATTTGTTGTAAAATTCGCGATATCACGTCCACCCACACGACAACACACCTAACACAAAAAATTGTAACAATAAACACCCTTAAATGAATAAATTAAAATTGTACATTTTATAATCTTTTCCTTTTAATTAAGACGACCTCTCATCATCCACATCCTCAATTGATCGCACAGTCTCGTCCTTAGTTCATAGAGTTAAATCTCTAGACTCAAAAAGAGACCGACGAGCGGGGCCTTATAGGATAGAGTAAGATCGGCATACGCCGTTGATCTGTCCGTGAGAGCACACAAACTCGCTCGACTCTGCCGTAGCGGAATCGCCAACCTGCTGTGCGGAGATAGAGAGAAACGACAGCTCTCTGTTACTCCACCATAGCCCGACCGTAACCGTGGGCCAAGACGTAACATAAACACCACAAAATTTTTTTCTCAATTATAGGACAATTTCTTTTTGAAATTAATTTTGCAAATATACTGCTAAGATGATTCGCCATATCATTATTCTTTTGCCGAAATAGTATTTGGAAACTAATTTTGCAAACTACAAATATTTTATAAAAGATCAATGTTTTTACATCTATTTCCTAAAATATATCTGTATATTTGCAAATTACAATTTTAGTGCAAGATTTCGTCACATAATTTTGTAAATGGTTTTCTATCAGGGTTTGGATCTAATAGATCTAACTAGATCTATTTTTCCATTTTTTTTATCTCGTTAAATTTAAGTTAGATCTAATCCATTTTTTCCTGGGAAAGTCCCTGCAGAGAAGCAAAGCCTCCTTGCCTATATACAACACAAACATAAAAACGTTTCGTTTTTTATGTTAAAAAATTTTGGTTTTTCTTTTGAAAGGCTGTAATTCAGTGAAAAATGATCCAAATTCAAAAAATAAAAAATGTTGTTTTTATCTCATTATCAGCTACAACTTTTATTTCAAGAAAAAATCGACTTCCATTTAAACAAATGGCCGTCATAATAAAATCTCAGTAGTGATGCTATCGCTATTACAATTAAAATGATAACATCATTATTTTTCTTTCTCAATGCCATATAACTTTTGTCTGAAACATTTTTTTGTTTAAATGCGTTGTGATTGAAATATTTCAGTGTTTAAGTTAAAACTGGGATATTCTGTATACAAAGCAGTAGTATTCAAGCAAACAAAAAATTATAACTTACATTTTTACTTCACTTTTAAAAAGAGTAAAGCAAACGAATATGATTGATTCAAAATCTGAAAACCAGCATTAAACTTTAGAAAATAAAAAAAGTTAATGTGTTAATATTAAACTTAAAATAAAGTTATTCGTAAAGTTACTATGAGCAACAATAAAAGTTACTGTAAGTAGCTTAATTAATCTTACCGTCATAAATGAAGGAAGAGAGAGATTAAATTTATTAGTTGCCGAAAGTTTACATTCTAATTTATTAGATATTATCATCATTGTAAACATATATTTCAGTGACGGTCTAAATTCATACCACTTTTCGTGAAATGCTTTCTCCGTTATATCTTTGCTCTAAATGATAATTATATAAGAGTATATAAGTGTATATTGAGAGAAGAAAAGATAATTCATTAAAAAAATATAATTTAATAAATATCTACCGCATCTAATAATTGATGAACGCATAAACATAAAATATAAAGCTGTACTAGACCGCCAGATATGTACATAACAATCATAAATCCTTCTATTGAAGCTTTTGATAGTATCTAAAAAAATTGGAAGTAATGTTTTATATACATGTTTATTTATACGGATTAATATAATTTTCTCTCTCTCTCTCTCTCTCTCTCTCTCTCTCTCTCTCTCTCTCTCTCTCTCTCTCTCTTTCTCTCTCTAAAATCATTATTATTTTTAAATTATTTATATTTACTGCACTTATCAACATAACATCGAGAAAACAGAAAATAAAAACATTGGTCAAATATAATAGACTCATATTGAAAGATAGCAGTTTCTTTAACATCAACGTCATCCTAAAACAAATATACTACTATAAAACATTAATAAATTTTAAGAATCGTGATATAATAATATTGCAATGAAAACAAGACAAATTGAGCAAATTTTAAAACACTAAAAAACTAAATTGTAATAATAAAAAAAACAAACGTTTACTAATTACTTACTGAACTACAGCTCTGTGATGTTGACACAATAATCTCATTTCCTTCTCTATCAAGAAATAATTTTTGTTTTCATATTTATTATGGTGATCTTGTAACGAATCTTTTTGAAGTATCATCGCAAGCTTTACCGAAATATAACGATATTGCGCTGTTATCAACAACACTAGATTTATCATATAAACATCCAGAGCGACTTTCTTTATAAACATATATGTGCTGGCAACACACGCGAGAAAGTTTCCCAGTAGGAAGATTTCTGTCGAGAATGGTTGCTTCGAAAGAACCATTGGTAATCTGTAATCCTCGTAAAAGAAACATTCTTTTCTAGAGACCAACATAAACGGTATACAGCACCACACTATTATAGAACCAGTTCCGGCTATGCAGTAAAATTTTAGCGGAGCTTCCACTGGCTTTAAAGTCGATTTAACAATTGTCTTCATAGTCATGTCCTCAACACGCAAAACGTCGTTCAGTTTATAAATTAATTGGCATATAAGACTTCTGGACATGTGCATTTGCCAGTACAAGAAGAATACTTCTAGAGTAACCACGATCCCTACCGTTGAGTCTTGTATAGTTTTTTCTATTGATACCAACATTACTCCGGGAATTATCGCGCTGGTTTGGATCGCTTCAATTAGCCATACGACGACGCTATATATTCTCCATATTACAGAGAACAGTGCATCGTCACTATTCATAGGTAATAAATTGCCTGAGAGTATATTTAATCGAACATTTAAAGAATTTACAGTTTGAAAATTCATATTTTTAGTTTTTAAATATGTTTTAGAAATAGAGAAATCGTACAATCTTTCTTTCTTTTATATATCACGTATGTTTATAACGTACAATAACTTTTTTTACGTTGAATCTTTCACAAACTAAAGAAGAATTTAGTTGTCATTATTGCTGATAATACAAAACCTTGAAATAAGTAAATATTAATATATTTTTTATGCATAAAACATATAAAATTATATTTACTTCCAACATATACATCGTAACGGATATTTTTGTATGTATGAATCTTTCTGTCGCAAATTGAAAATTAATTGAAAACCGTTATTGATCTGTAAAATTTCTTATTCTTTGTGAGTTCTTGCTTTTATACATTTTGCATGATAATGTGCATTGGATATGGTGACATTATTCTCTTTATTGCAATGAATGTTTATTCTTTAGTAATTACACATATTTTACACATTCATTGTTATCAGCAGAAAGCTTTTATTGTTTATTTTAAAAGAATGAAGGAATTTATATGGGAAATCTATTCGATAATATGTAAAAACTTTTAGCTGTCTTTATCATTTCTACAGCAAACAGTCTGAAGACGTGGTTTATAATTATTCTTGCGCACTGTAAAACAATGATTATCTTATAGCACATTCTATCTATCATGCTGCAGGAGAGTAGCAAATTTAAAAGAAGCTTCAGTGTCTGATGTTGTTTGATGCGCAGAACAACAACGTGGTCGTATATCACAACAATTTAGCTTAAAGTTAGTGTTTTTGTCTTTAACAGATTACTACTCTATTACTCTATCGCTACAGTATATCATTCTGTTACAGAGCAGCAGATTCAATAATATCTAGCATTATTAGATACGTGCGTCCTATCAGTAAAAAAACATTGAAGTGCTTCCACATCATGCATATCGAAAATAAAGTAAGTTTTCTTTTTTTATAGGGAAACAAAGATTATATTTCAGATAACGAAATTTATTTCTTTTCATATACGCTATATCCAATCCGCGACGTGTTTTAATTAGCTCTGCCGTTTTCTACGATCTCTCGTTCGCTCTTTAATTTACTAAATTAATAACAACATATGTATACGTATATACATATTGTATAATGTATTACACAATATACTTCTGTCGTTAACAGAGAAAGAAAAAAAGAGATTTGTTATTTACTAAATATATAAATAGAAAGTAGTATATTAAGATTTTTTAACACATAAATATATAAAACTAATTAACTAAAACTTAAAGTCAGTTTTCTATTTAAAAAAGAAAAAAAAATTATTCTATTCAAAATAATCGGTTTTATATTTTTATATTTATTCGTTTTATCTACAATATTATTGATTCTTTACTATTGCTTGTTTGTACTACAGTTTGCTAGTGATTCTTTACATACTTATATCTATTATGTTATATTTTTTATCACATATATATAATATTTCACTTTTATAAATTTAAGTATAATATATAACTCACAGAACTTCGCAGAAATGTCATTAGACGTCCATTAGATAGAGAGTTGTTGATGCCTAATGGACACCTAGTGAGGTGTTTGTTTTTCTGTATAAGATGCGTTATTTCCAGATTTAGCTTATATATATTATGTTTTAGTTTACTTTCAAAAATAGAAGAGCAATCGAATAAGATTGATTCATAATCTACATCATAGAAAAATGTAATAAAAAAATTTTTTTGTTTTACAACATTGTTTTACAAGTAGTTTTATATAATTTAGCAATAGGGATAATATAAAAAAAGTTTTACCGTCATAAATGACGATAGAGATAAGTTGAATTTGTCGACCGCTGCGATTTTGCATTCCAAATTGTTAGATAGTATTAATAATATAAATATACGTTTTACCGATGTGCTACATTGGTGCCAATTCTCGTTAAACGCTTCATATGTTATTTCTATACTCTACATTTATTCAAAATATTAAGATATTTTGTTTATTTTATATACAAATTTTTAATTTATTCTCCAAAAGAATCTAAAAGTCTGACCATGTAATATGATCATTCAGTAACTAATCTTACCGCATCTGATAGTGTCTGTACGGAAACACACAACAGATAAAATTGTATTATTGAGCCGCATGAAAAAAATACAGCTGCAAATCTTTCTGCAAGTGTCATAGACGGTATCTAAAAATTGAGATAAACCTATTGTATGAAAATACAAATTACAGTTTGCAAACCAAATTGTATATTTAATATTTGTCTGCTATTAACTACTGTAACAAGTATATTTATGTAATTTAAGATACGCATTATATACTTAATGTGCTTATCGCAATACCTAGAAAGCAAAATCGAAATACGCTGTTTAGATATAATATGCTAAAGTTTACAGATAACAATTTTTTAGTGGGGGTAGCGTTTAGGTCAGCAGCGATAGTGGACAGCAGCAGTGGTGATAGCAGCAAAAGAATGGCGGCCGAGGTGTGGTTCTTTTGATGAAGTATAATGTTCCAAAAATTAGGTTTTTATTCCGAGATATTTACAGACCATTTACAAGGTATACTTGGCTCTGACAAGAGCCGGTTTGTATAATTGGATGTGCCAGATTTCTCCGTCGGGTTCTGCAATGCCGTGATCGATCTCGTCTGCTGCGGGAGTGAGCTCTCCTGGTACTGGGCGATCGATGTCTGGAACGGCTTCTTTCTCTATGCTGCCGCTTCTTCTCCGGTTTGCGCTGCGGGATGATCTCGCCGGTGATCTCGGTCTGTACTGCTGTGGAGATAGCTTTCCGTGGCGATCATTCCCATTCACTGTCGCTCGACTGCGTGGACTGATCTTTATATACCAGTCGTTCTCCCTGCACCCCTCTATGTACGCGAGGTGGGGGAAGTGTCTGCGTCGACTTGTGAATCCTTTGGCGTGGAGGAGAAGGTATTGGTGAGATGAGCGGTGGAAGAACCAGGCTGTCTCTAGGTGACGTGTATCTCCGGACCCTAATGTCCCACTGTGCCAGCAGGGCTCTAGGAGGCCGCGTTCGCCGAGGCGAGGGTGTGTTGTGAGGTCGGAGTATCCACGGCCGGAACGACTCTTCTATTGGTCCAGTGGATTCCGCTTTCTGATTGGTCGCCTCTGGTTCTGCTACTCCAAATGGTTCCGAGATGAAGACCGCTCCGAGGTGTACCCCTGGGGATCATGGAGGCGTTGGTCTAGTGATCCGGACCGCTGGAGCGTAGCTGGGTGCTTCGGGATTAATGCTGCTGGTTTTTTGCTTCGGTGTCGCTCACTGTACGGCGATAGATATGCGCCGAGCGGGTCCATATATGTAGACGCCGCGGCAATAGGTACTTCCGCGCGACACTCGCGGTCTTGCGCCACGTAGCGGCGGCGCGCGAACTGCGCGTCCTGCCGTACATAACTTTATTTTTCTGGTGGTGGTTTTTCTGACCGCCACAAATTTCTTTAGCATAAATGCTATTCTGAAACGAACCACAAAATAGGTGCTCAAAAATATACAAGATATTAGAAAGTATGTAAAATACGCAAAGAACAATATATTGATTTGATTAAGAAATGTAAATCAATGAAAGAGAGAAAAAGAAAGAAAGATTTATAGAAAAATTTATTACTTAATATTTATCTTAATAATTAAACTGTTTTACCTCAAGGTATTGTTTTGATATCGACACAATCCCTTCAATTTTCTTTCCGACCATTGATGTGTGTCAGAACATTGAGACTTGTCATTCTGCGAATCTTGGAAAAACATTGTGAGTTTTGCCGCTGTGTATCGATATTGTGCTGTTAACAGTAACACCAGGTGCATCATATAGACATCTACGCTAAATTTCTTTAGGAATTGGTACATGCTGCCGAGCGTCATCAGCACGGTCGTTAGAATCAGTACATAGGCCGAAAACGACTGTGAACTGAAAACAGCTGGCAAATTAGAATCCGTGTAATAAAAGCTAGTTTTCTCGAAAATCAACACAATTGGCTGCGCAGTCCAAATGATGACAGAAATTTCGCTGACTATTCCGTATATCAGGAAAGGCATCGTTATCGGCTTCAGAGTTGTTTTAACAATCTCATTGATAGTTTCATCTGCACGTTGTAAGATACCGTTCATCTTCTGTACTATTTGTTCTATCAGTTCCATGCGCGTATAGAGACACGTAAGCATAGAAAATATTTCCAGGCCGACCGCAACAGTCAAAAAGCCGTCTTTTATAACCTTTTCTTTTGATACCTGAGTTAGTCCACAGATTAAAGCGGACATGTGTGTCACTTCGATCAGCAAAACGATGACACAATATATTTTCCAGAATATTGAAAACTTTGCTCCTAATGGAAGTAAATTTCCCGAGATCATGTTTACTCGACTGTTTAAAAGATTTACATTTTGAAAATTCATGTGTAACGATTATTTATAATAAATGAAAAATAAATAAATTTTGTTAGCAAATACAGCATAAAATAAAGTGTACACGACGTTGCATATAACGTATATTTGCAACAATAGCACTTCGTGCTTGATTCGTTTGTAGTGTTTTGTTTCAAAGTTGCAACCCAGGAAACATTCTCTTATATTCTTCAATATAGCAAAATTTCTCTGTCGACTATATATATTACCTAAACTATATATATTTAGTAATTATACACTTAAATGCAGAAACATTTCTCTTGCTTTGACTCTTTTTCCATATGTTCTCTTATCTTTTTCTCACTATACTAGAACTCACAGTAAAAAGGCAGTACCCAGACGGCACATGATATCATTTGATTGTAGAATGATATCGTTTCTACGTC